CTCCCATACATCACCTCCAACATGCAACTGGCAGATATCCTCACCAAAGTTGTACCACGGAAGAAGCTAGAGGCAGATCTATCCAAGTTGGGAATGACAAACATTTATTCCCAACTTGAGGGGGAGTGTAGAGAACACTGATGTGGGCCCCACAGTGACGGTCCCAATGTGTTCGTAGGGCAAAAGGTGTTCTAGTCTGCCTAGGGTTAACTATTGGTCATTTAGTTGTTTCAGTTATTTATTTCAGTCTTATTTTTGCTCTATTTGTTATGTAAAGACTAAGGGTAGATCTGTACTTTCCATGTAATGAGCATAACCTATAAATATTAATTAAAGTGGCGGTGGCAGAATATGAAGTTTCTGCTCTTCCTTTTTCAACTCTTGTGTTCTACTACTTCTCTTCCCTCTTCCTCCTTTTTCTCTTTACCTTTCTTCTTATTTTCAAACCTGAAATCCATTAGGGTTCAAGACTGATAACAGTCCTGAACTTCTACTCACACAATTAAGTCCATCACTGACCACAAAAGTGCTTTAAGCCACCTGAATAGAAGATGATTACTTGCACTAAGTCGTTTCCTCCCTCCGTTCATTGCATGTATAACATGTGGAAGTCATGTCGAAAAACTCAATCTATCTAGTATCTACTATACTAACAAGTAGCAATAATAACATTATTAGTGTTGCACATGCATGGAATCGAACTTCAACAACACAACCCACAAATATCTCTTGAACCAACATAAGTTCTCAAGTATAATAAAGAAACAAGAATCTCCTTGAGAGTGTTATTGCCTTGTTGGTTTAATATGATACTAGCGGAGTGGTTGCAGGGGCTAATGAGTGTAGAAAAAAAAATTTCCTGAAATGTGATATTTTTTGCTTTGTAGAGGTTTTGAGAGAGTGCTGGAAATAGTGCGAAATTAATTGTGGATCACAGGTATGTTTTTAAAAGAAATTAATTAATTTGGAAATGGTGTAATAAGCACTACCCATACGAATTTAAAGAGGTTAATATGCTTCTTACAAAAGAAAAATCTCATTCTTTACAGAAACATGTTAATACTTGAGGTGAGCTATTTGAATCGTCTTCTATAGCAAAAATCGCTCTTCAATGGACATCTTTGTCTCTCAACGCCATGACTAATGATTTGTGATTAAAGGCCAAGACATAGAATCAGACTTGTGGTTGTCCCAACTGATTTTCCATCTTCACTAAAAACCTGCTCAATTAAAAAGGAAAATAAATTATTAAAAAAGCCAGTAAGAGAAAATGATTGGCAGCCTAGTCTGAACCTACAATAATAGAAAAACAAACGAAATTTAGTCTAGTTCTTGCTTTCTGGTAAAGGAAAGAGATAATCAAACAAATAAAGAGAAAGAGAAAAAATGATGAAATGAAATTTGATTAAGAATGAAATGGTTCTCACAACTAAGAATCGACACTCCCAATTCCTGTTTCTTTGAAAAAATTATAGGTAATTTTGTTTCATTTGGGAGCAAGAGTCAAATGGAAACTTTAGGTGTCCATTTGACCGTTTTCTTTTCATGGAAACTTTTGGAACATTACCGTACCATGTGTTCAAAACATCACTCCCAACACTTGGATTATAGAGATTACATATAAGGTGAGCTTAATTATCACAATCTAGAAAATGTCCCTACTTGATATATAGATGATCATGATTAATCACATGCATCATCTTTCATGAAAGAGGGTATATCAGTTTTTCAAACTTCATTGATGGGACAAAAACAGCTCATTAATCTCTAGTGATCTCTAAAAAAATATGGGCTCTATAAGACCTCATTACCCACATCCAACTAAAAATATAAAACAAAGAAAGAACAAATTAGAGCACTTATTCCCTATGACTCTATATTCCTCCCTTCCTCTCTTTCTCTCGCCTCCTCTCTCTACTCCAATCCCTCTCCTCATTCAGTGTTGGCACTTGTCCTTGAGCCCATTTCCAACAAACATGTACGAGGATAAGGAACAACAACAAACCAAATATAATATAATCCAATAGCAATCCAACCAAGATCATTAAAAATAACGTGTATTGCTGAAAGGGAGGTAGTAAGAGAATATAAACAGTGAATCCAAGAATCTTGAAACATATTCCCTAATCTTAATTGCATGGGAGAATTCCGAGAAGTCTCATTCACTCATCAAGATCTCAAGTTTCTACTATTAGCAGATATCTTTGGTGTTCAGGTCATGCATCAGGTGTAACATTCCATGTATATATAAAAAAACACATCTATGAATAATAATAGCCTTGAAAGGAAGGGATGCCCAAGTTCTATGCTCATTCTATTAGGGTCCATGCCCTCCATGCTCATTCTATCAAGTCAATCTCAACCTTGCAAGTAATAATCAAAGATGATCAAGTGAATGGAGCTCTCTGATAAGGACAAAACACGACATAGGTTTAAGTCATTCTCAAATAAATCAATGGAGGTTTTAATAGAAAATAAACAAAATAAATAAATAAAATAGATAATTATTACCAATTATAAAGAACTATAAACTAGTTTATTAAAAAGCAATAAACCAACTAACAGAGAAGATAAAATACCATGCTCATTCAGTTAAGGTCCACACCCAAGCTCGTATAGACAGTGTATGCCCTTAGCTCCAATCAGAATGTGTACATTATGACATTTATCGTAAATGAATAAAGTACATATTTGATTCATGTTATTATGGTGTGTTTCTGTGTAATACCCTTAAACTGGACACATATGAGACTCGTGTTAGTTTAGAATGTTCACAACTATTAGATAAGTCTGGGGAGATTTATCTTGTCAAGGCTGACACTGATGTGCCGCCAAGTTGGTTGGGGTAACCTGTTTCAGATGTTAGGGTGAGACCCGATGTACATGCAGTGTGGATTTACTTGAAACCCTGAACCAAACCAGATTTTCAGTATTGCCCTGGACCTTGGAGATTGATGGGCAGAACTGGAACATTACACATGACCCCTAAATTCGATTATGATACTACACTAGGTGTCGGATTGGGCTGTATTTGATATGTCAATTAGTGAGATCCTTATAGGGGGTCAAAACCTGGGTATGTTGGGATAATCTGAGAATTCATCTGAGTGGGTAATCATAGTGACAGGATCAGCCCCTTTGTCGGACAAAGGAAATGATCGGGGATGCACTCTCTCTAATAGAAACCAAGACTGTCGGCAGCCGATTTCAATCATTGAAATTTGTTTTGCAAAATATGTTTATATATAGATATACATATATATATATATATATATATATATATATGTATTATGGTTTCAAAATGTTTGTAAAAGGTTTTAATTCCCGGGATCCATGTGAGTAGAGAATGCAGCACTATTCCTTGCAGTCGAGGGAGAGGTCATCTCTTGTCAGGCAATGTTTGATCATTATAGGCTGAGAGGTTAAGTGTAAGACCATTAAAGGTAATACCTGATGGGCTAATCTTGCATCTGCCCACAGTCCCTGAGTTTTTATAAGGTGGCTTGGCCCAGGGACTACTTAGTGTAAGTGTTGGGCCCATCAAGAACCTATGGTGATGGGTTCAGGGGTTCACTGCCCATAACAGTGAATTCGGCTAGGCCTTGTAAAAGAGGCTAGGCTGAACCCATGTGGCTGATGTGTAKATCAATGTTTGGGTCCCACGCTATAAAAAGAAGCCCAACTGGGCAACGGTTTGGAGGGTTACTGAGCACATGGATTTATTGGGCCTAAAGACCATTTCAAACTGGTCTAATATGATTAGTTAAACAAGGGTGGATCTGGGATTTGGATCAGTAGATAGGATAGGGAATTATCCCTATCCACTTAGAGAGTCCAGATCCAAATAGAGATTTGGATCTGGAAACCTCCTAATGAGTCACAACAACAGTGTGACTACGCCATCTTCTCCCTGCTTCTCCTCCAGTTGCCGCCAATTGCCAGTTCGATCTCCATTCTTGTAGGAGCAATCAAGAAAAGTTCTTGATATCAATCTTTGGATAAAGGTTGATCTGAAGTCGTGCTCACAGCCTCCATCGAATTCTTGTTGAAGGGTTCAGTTCTTGGGAAGAACACTGCTGATTCTACTCCACCCTACACTGTGTCATCTTCAGTGGGAGCAGTCTTTGGAGATTTCTTTGGGCGTGAACACCTTCATTAAGAGTTACTGCTATTTTGTATCAGGTATATCCCTCTCCTACCTTTTGGTTTCAGATCTGGTTCGGTTTATGTTCAAGATTGATCCTTGAAAATGCAGATTTTCTAAAACAGGGAATTAGATTCCCAGATGGGAGAGAGAAATTTTTGAAATTTCGCCTCACCTACCTGTAGGGTTCGGTTATCCATATGATGGTTCTCTCATCCCTTCAGCTCGATGCTCATTGATGATTAACTGAATGGAGCTCCCTACAAGGGACAAAAGGCAATGTAGGCATAAGCGATTCTCAAATAAACCTGTTGAGGTTTAAGTAGAAAATGAATAAACAAATAAAATGGAAAAATAAGTAACAGTAATAATAACTATCAACCAATTTTTGTTAATGATAATGAACAATACCAATGAGTCCGGATCTGCTTCTCACAATTCGCTCCTCACACTGATCTCACAGCATGTACCAGTCGCACATTAGGAACATCTCCCGTACTTGTATGTTATTATTAATGGGAGATGTTCCCAATACATGGTGGGATGTGGCTACGAAGTCGGTGTGAGGAGTGCTATGTGAAGGGCAGATCCCAATTCAATACCAATAATCATAAGACTAAAATAATATCCTTGGAAACTACAACAATAAATCAACTATCAAAAAAATAAAATAATATCCTTAATTAGCAAACGCTTCAGCATATCTGGAACCCCACGACCATTTGTACCCAACTAATCTCAAATTTCTATACCCCATTGATAAGCCATAGAAATATCCTTCCCCTCATTTAATTTATGAGTTGCATATGTAGGAAGCCAACTGCTTCAAATGAATTTCAGCATGAAACAACAGGGGATCATGTAAGCTAATTCTTTATATCACAATTCCAAGTCCGAACTCTTCAAATTTCTGCAAAAAATGTTGCATGAGAAAACAAACAAATTCCCTTATTGAATATAGCACCATAAATCAAAATGGAGCCCTAATTTCACATAAATATCTAGTTTATAACTTCAAAGGGATTATAATTAATAGAAAGTACAAGGATTTTCAAAAGAAAAGTAATTACCTGCTTCAAGGAATTTGGGTCCTCGAGATTTCTTTTGATCAGCATTTAAAAAAAAACCAAGACATTGCATTTTCATATTGAGGTAAGAAGTCAAAATTTGATAAACACTAAAGTTTAATGCATTTGATCAATAGCAATGTTTAGTTTTGAAAATTAAAATTAAAGCTGAGAATGATTACCTGAAAATGGGTTACTCGAAAAATGGAAGGACCTAGATAAAATAATCATGAAATGAGCCCATAGATAAGTAATATGCTGTACAGTCAAAGAACGGGTAAAACTGCAGGGGAAGTCTAAGCAGCTTACCCTTATAATAAAAAGGTGAAGTGATAGGAAACCTGTTGGCAATTGTCGAGCGTCCTCAGCCATAACCAACAAATGGCTAGCGATTAAAACAAGTTGTAACATAAAGTTGCATCAAAATCCACTGAGAAAGGGCATAAACATACTTCTAGCATGAAAACAAACTCCCTTAGTAGAAGAAAATAAAGAGGAGAATCCAATGGTAGAAACAAAACCCCAAGTGAAATAAAGACATCCAAGGCAAGTAGGAAAACAGCCTAGAGCGACCTCAAATCCTATAAAACAAGAAAAATATCAGTTTAGGGAGTAAAAAGCAAAATAGAATCCAGAGTTTAGGGAGCAGAAACTTGTGAGAAAATAGAAACTCAACGAAAGCAAAATAGAAAGCCAACAATTAATAAACTTGTGAGAAAAAAACAAAATAGAAGGGAACAAATAAAGGAAAGCAAAGTTTAGGAAGCATAAACCACCATAAAAATAACATCCACTGTAAGAAGGAATGGAGGAAATAAGGAATACTTGAGAATGTGAAACCCCCATTGTAGCCAAACCATTCAAGTATCCCGCTGGAGAGGGAGAGGTACAGAACCCTTGCTATCTGAGAAAAGAGACACCCCCGTCATAGCCAACCCATTCAGGTATCCCACTGGAGAAGGAGAGGCACGGAACCCTTGCTGTCTAACTGTCTAAGAAAAGAGACACACCATGTTTAGCCAGGGGGAGAAATAAACTCTCTTAGCTCTCCCCAAGGAAGTATCAAGTAACAACATAGTCCAAAACAAATTGTTCCTTCCCACCCCTTGTTTAGCCAGTGTGTCAGCAAATGCATTGGCTTCTCTTCAGTCTTCTCACCCAATTGAATGTCATCTCTACCCCTTGTAATAACCTCATCACCTTCCTTTTCTCATAGATGTAGCACCACCATCCATCCTCCTCATCCTTTCGGAGCCAATTAATCACCAGCTTTGAATCTTCTTCAATTTACAATTTTCGAATGTTCAATCCTTTTGCTTTTTGAACTGCCAATACAGCTAGAATTTCAGCCCTCAATGAGTCACCTACTCTGATTGGGCCTGAATAGATCACATGACTACTCTTTGCTCATTTCTAAATACTCCACCAATGCCAGACGGACCCGGATCACTACTTCTGTCTAAGTTTAATAGCTCCATCATATGGTGGGTATCAGCAAGGCCTAATAGCCTCCTTAGTGGGAGACGAATCAGCTACCTCCCTCGATTTCCTCATCAGGTCACTGTTTACCTGGTGTACTCCTATACCTCCTTGATTATTAATCCACTCATTCCAGTCCTTCCAGTCTTCCACAACCCTTCCAAGTTGAATCCAGATGGGTTAAACAGAAATGGGTCACCTACTCCGATTGGGCCTGAATAGATCACATGACTATCTTTGCTCATTTCTAAATACTCCACCAATGCCAGACGGACCTGGATCACTACTTCAAAGTTAAGTTTAATAGCTCCATCATATGGTGGGTATCAGCAAGGCCTAACAGCCTCCTTAGTGAGGGAGGAATCAGCTACCTCCATTTCCTCATCAGTTCACTGTTTACCTGGTGTACTCCTATACCTCCTTGATTATTAATACACTCATTCCAGTCCTTCCAAGTTGAATCCAGATGGGTTAAACAGAAATGGTGCAAACAGCCAGGTCATCAACATGAACCAGATAGAGAACGTAATTAATACATGTCATGCTGCTCACATAAGACCACTTGAACAAATTGTAAACAATCAACAGGAGCAGCAGTTTAAATCCTTTCATTAAGTTTCTGCGTGAGTACAATCTATAGTTTTCACTGAAGTTCGCATGGAGACTACAGCTTTATGACCAGTAGGCCTGTACTCAGCACCCCCATGAAGAATTGTTTGATTAATAGTGGGATTTTGTCCCAAGGGAGAAAGTAAAGAAAACAGCAGCCAGTTGCAACTGCACGAGGATAAGTCTTTAAAGACTGTTAAAAATCCTTTCTCTAGTCCAACCTCCATCACCATCGGTAAGCCTGTTAAGAGCCCAAACTGCATAAATGACTGGGATGTAAGAGCTGTTTCCGCAGATACTATATTTTGTGTTCTAGCCTCAATAAGGAGAATTTTTTCCAGTACACCAAGAATGAGGTATAGTTGCCCAGAGAGAGAGAGAGAGAGAGGTTTACATGATATTCAGTTATGACCACACTAAATCATAGAGGTAACAACAAACAACTACTGAGCTAGACATAATGGAAAAAGAAAAAAAAAATTATTACTGACATAATCAAAATACCCTGTAGTGAAGTTCTTTTAAGTGTCAATGTCATATAATTAAAAATCCTTTTGACTTTTTTTTTAGAGATGCTGCAACCTGATAATTGCTAAGCAAGTAAGCATCATTTTATCCCTGGATCTAAAAAAGAAATGATATATAATCAACAAAAGAACATCAAGGAGGCTTTTGGTATGGTAGTGGTCTATTTTGAAAAAAATTTCTCTCTAAGAATAACTATAGGTGTTCTTGGGATTATTTTCCGATACCTCTGTCCTACTTAGGGTACTTGTTAGAAATGAAAAGCTATCTTACTCAGGACAAAGATACCAACCAATCAACAATCCATTTTGTCATTGGTAGAAGTCTTTAAGGCTGCATTTGTTTTCAGTGTAAATGCGAATCGAAGTAAAACTCCACCGTCAATTCACATTTGCAGGCGTTTGTTTTCAATGTAAATACTGACCAGTGTAAAACTCCACTCCCGGTCCATATTTTCACACGCTTGTTTTCAATGTAATGTTTACATCGAAAATCGATGTAAAAAGTTTCCAACGGTTGAGTTTTCCATCGATAATTGATGTAAATAATACATCAATAAAATCAATGTATTATTTACATCGATTATCACATCAAAAAAGCTCCAATGGTCCGCTAAAATTTTAAACCCATCGATTGAGTTTTACATCAATGAATTTTCCACCGAAAACAAATGCAGCCTAATGTAGAGAGACTGGGCCGAATGGGCCCTAGTCCTTTAGTGCCATTCTTATTAGTTCCTTCTTGTTATGTTTTCTTATTGGGCCTTCTTTCTTTATGGGCCTTTAGCTTTTGTTTTGTTTTTAAGTGTATTGCTGATGTGGACGCCTACTTAAGGGCCTTCTTGCAAATTATAACTTAAGTAAGTTTAATAAAAGATTTGAGTAGGAGAAAGAGGAGATTATCGAACTCCTCCTTTCTTTCTCCTTTCTTCTTTCTTCTTCTTGCTGTCTTCCTCTTCTCCCTTCTTTCTGCTCTAATCTAAATATTTCTGCTAATTTTATTGGTCTGAATCACATCTTGGTATCAGAGCAAGTCTTCCTTCGTTTTCTCTTTTTTTTTTCTTTTTTTTCCATACACTTTTCTTTTAATCGAAAGGTGTATGGAGAGATAAGTTGCTAATCAATCAAAGATCTTGTTTGTTTAGTTGGTAGAGGGTTTGGAGAGTTAGAAGATGACCGAAGATTGCCAAGAAAGTGGGACTGCAGAATTTTTCCCAAAACCCTAGCTGACTAGAGAGTTTCTAGTTACGGGTTGAAGAGTCTGTTAAGGCTTGAAGGGTTCCTTTTTATTTCCAGAAGTGGACGGCTGCAGTTGGAAGTGGTTTGGATTGCTCTGGTTTGAGTGGCTACTTCTTCTCTCTTTCTCCCCAGAGGCCAGGTACGGTGAAACCCTAGTTTTGGGACTTTTGAGTGTTTGGCTGACCTTAGGTCTATAAAGGTTGAAAACATTGTTTTTTTATTTTCGTTTAATTGATGGAGTAATCTGGAAGTGAGATGAAGTAGATCCCGATGTCGAGGGTTGGTCCCATAGATTCCATTCTGACATGAGTGACTACAATTAAACTTGACAGAACAAATTACCTTGCTTGGGCACAATCTATTAAGATCCATGTCTATAGTAGAGGTAAACTAGGGTTTCTCACGAGTAGTAAGGTGATGCCGAAAGAGACTGATCCTACATATGAGAAATGGATGCAGGATAACTACACAATCATTGGGTGGTTGGTAAATTCTATGCAGCCCCACATAAGTCAACACTATCTGTGGATGACTTCAGCCAAGGAGATTTGGGATAGTGTTACAAAAACATACTCTCAGAAGTTAAATGTTGCAAGGGCCTACAAACTGAAGAATGATGTTAAAAATTTAAAACAAGGGGAGAAGAGTGTGGCTGTCTACTATTCGATGTTGAAGTCACTATGGCAAGAGAGAGATGTTATGGAAGCAGTCGTATGGAAAAGCACTAAAGATGCAGAAACTTTCAAGAAATTTGTGGAAAGAAACAGAGTGTTTGAATTCCTTACAGGACTCAATCCTGTGATATTACAAGGCAAAATATTCTGGCCAAGGATGAAGTGTCACTTGCTCATGCATACTCAATGGTGAGCAGTGAAGAGAGTAGGCGATAGGTACAGCTACAGACCCCACCTCCCCTAGAACATTTTGCACATGTTGGATTAAAATGAAAAAAAAAAAGGTGATATGTGAATATTGCAAGAAGCCGAAACATACGAAGGATTCTTGTTGGAAACTTCATCCAGATCTTCTTCCAGAAAGGTTTCGGAACAACAACAATTTTAAGAAGGGTAGTCAGTCTAGAAAGCCCAAGAATGCAAATGTTACTACAATATCTGAAAGTGAAGGAAAATCTATTGTGGAATAGCTGGCAACAGTGAAGGCAGAATTTGAAAGATATTGGAAGTTGATACATCACTTGGAGTCTACTGTTGCATCTTCCTCCTCAAGCACCCCCTCTACATTTGCCTTTTCCCATTCAGGTATTTATGCTTTTGCAAATCATGCTATAGCCTCAGGTAATCGTAGAATTCCTTGGATCATAGATTCTGGTGCATCGGACCATATGACTAGCATACCCAACCTTTTTTGTTCATACCAGTTCCTCTCGGGTAGAGAGAAGATTTCTCTTGTCGATGGGTTTCTTGATCCCATCTCTGGCAAGGGGGGTGTTAGAGCCTCTGGCTCACTTGTATTATCTTTTACCCTTCATGTTCCCAAACGTAGCACTAACCTTTTATCGATGAACTGCAGCATAACCTTCTTTCCTACTTATTGTGTTTTTCAGGACCTAAAGTCTCAGCAGACGATTGGGAGTGGCCATGAGGCGAATGGGATATACTTGTTGGATGTCTATGATCAAAGTTCTGGATTACCTAGTGGAGTAGCTTTGGAGTCTGTTTTATCAAAGTCAATTGATAGAGTCATGATATGAAATTTTATATTTGGTCATTTGTCTTTTTCAGCTTTGAATCATCTGTTTCTAGAAATGTTCAAGGGAATATCCCTATTGAGTCTTCATTGTGAGTCATGTGAACTTGCAAAACATTGTAGAGAATCTTTTTCAGTGAGTAATAAAAGAAACTAAGAGACATGCAAGTTGTTTCCATGCCTTCAGATGTGCCTCTTGCTCCTATCACTACTGAGGTAATAGGTCAACCCTCTTCTACCACATCGGATACATTCCCTGACTTTGATCTCCCTATTGCCCTTCGCAAAGGCAAACAGAAATGTACAATTCATTGCATTTCCAAACACCTTTCCTACAGTCTTCTTTCCCCTTCCTACTATTCCTTTCTTGCCTCTGTTTACACACATGTGACTCTGAGATCTATCACAGAAGCTTTGTCCAAACCAAAATGGAGGGATGCTATGATGACTGGACTAGATGCTTTGCATAAGAACAATACCTGGGAAATTGTAGATTTGCCTAAGGGAAAGGAACCGGTTGGCTAAAAGTGGGTGTTCACTATTAAGTATCATTCTGATGGTACTTGATGAGGGCAGATTTGGCCCTCCAGTGAAATTATGACACCTGGCACCTCATGCCAACTAAGTGTAGCCTCTTGACAACTAGGTAGCTCGCCACTTAGGGGCAGCTCGGCACCTATAGGCAGTTCGCCACTTATAGACAACTCGCCACTTACAGGCAGCTTGGCATAGGCAACTGGCCACTCCACAGGCAGCCTGGCGTCTTACAAAGAGCTCGCCAGTTAGGGGCAGCTCGGCACTTACAGGCAGCTCGGCATAGGTAGTTCTCCACTTAGGGGCAGCTCGGCATAGGTAGCTCGCCACTTAGGGGCAGCTCGGCACCTACAGGCAGCTCGCCACTTACAGACAGCTCGCCACTTACAGGCAGCTCGGCATAGGCAGCTGGCCACGGGCAGCTGCCCACTCCACAGGCAGCCTGAAGTCTTACGAAGAGCTCGCCACTTAGGGGCAGCTTGGCACTTACAGGAAGCTCGGCATAGGTAGCTCGCCACTTAGGGGCAGCTCGGCGTATCGCAAGAAGATTTCCTACCTGACAACCGTACCTGCCAGATCTGGAGACTGCACCCACGTCTCTAGCCAGGCAGCGTCGTGCTTGCCAACTCCGACAACGCCTCATGTCTGACAGGGTCGTACCCTGCAACGGTTACCTGTGCCCACCAGCTCAGCCCTAGCAAGTAATAGTTGCAGCAGAGAGTCAGAGGCGGTTACGCCAGATCTATCAGGACACCGCTATATAAGAGCTCTGAACCCCCAGAGGGGAAAGAGGATGAAAAATGGAGGTAACCCCTACTCTCTAGCTCTCTCATTTCTCTAATATCATCTTCAAGCTCTCTACTATCAGAGTGCTAACTTAGCCATCGGAGTGGCCCATCGGGTAAACACCCCCGGGTCCTCTGATTCAGTTCTTGCAGGTTCATCGGCTCCCGCCGTGTTATGGACGCATTCCTTGGAAAGACGTACCATCGCCGCCGGCAGCAACAAGAACCTGACCCACTGCCAGATTAGATTAGATCATCTTGCTTGTTCTTATCTTATTCTATTGCTCTTATCTTATCTTGTTAGTAAGTTATCAAATTAGGATTAGTTTATCTTATTATCAAATTAGGATTAGTTTATCTTGGTATCAGATTAGGATTAGCTTATCTTGTTATCAGATTAGGATTAGCTTATCTTATCCTTAGCAAGATAGAATTGGAAGTCTCCCTATTCAGCAAGGAGACTCCCTA